CTATAGGTTCCGGAGGATACTTTCACTGCCGTCTCTGTGTGTGCTGCTGGAAAACCGTGGACTGAGTTTCAAAATTAAAATGCACGATTTATAAATTCAAAAAGCAAAGGAGTGGCCAGCGGTTGGACTGATTTATTAGTCGCGAAATATTATAATTATTATTTATTGCCCACGGTTGTTGAATACGGTTGTTCAACTACGGTTGTTCACTACTGGTTATTCACTATATATTTCAAAAGATTTAATTAAAATGTGCGGTAGTATTAAAATATCTAATGGTAGTATCAAAATATCTATTGGTAGTAGCTGGTTTTCTAACACTACTGACTAGCAACTATTAATCAACTAAAACTAGTTGATTTTATCACTTGTGTAACTGCGAATATCAGTTACCACTTTTTTCGGCTAGCTAACACTTTTTCACTATATGTAACTGCGAATTTTCAGTTGCCACTTTTTTCGGCTATGTGTAACTGTGATTTTCAGTTACGACCTTTTTCGGCTAGCTAACACTTTTTTTAATTCACTATCACTGTTCACTATGTTCTGCTACTAGTCACTTCAGCTACTACCGGATACTACTCTGCCGTGCTTGCGATAATGGCAGTAGTTACGATTTTTGGGCAAACTGAGTTATATACAGATACGGAATCAGCGTAATGAACTTTACAATATAGTCTGACACTCATTTTAATATTTCTGCAGGAACTAATAAATTCAGTAATGATAAGAGCAGTATGATCTTAATTGTTACAAGGCTTACTTATTAATAAATCAGTATGTATACTTACTATTGGTTTGCAAGTGTGGCGCCTACAATAGCGTTACGACATTGCTAATGATTACCGCAGTAAGTATACACACTGTGGTTACAATAAGTAAAGGTATTTGTTTCGAGTACATTTATTACTTATATAATCTCAGCAGTAAGTACACTTACTGCATATATAATAATCAAATACATTTGTTTTGAGTACATTATTTACTTATAATATTAGCAGTAAGTACACTTACTGCGTATGTAATAAGCAAAGGTTTTAAATACATTAATTTACTATAATTTAAACAGTAAGTACACATACTCCAGATTTAATAAGCAATGGTATTTATTTTGAGTGTACAATCCTTTACAACCATCATAACAAAAGTAATATTGCACGTTTTGTAATGCAATAGGGACAGTTGAATGAATTTGACTCATGAATTTGGACGTAATGTTTGAGTTAAAGCGCCACGTTTTTTGAAGTGAGAATTTATTTAGAATTGTTGTGATTTGAAACTCTATGAAACGAAAAAGCGACACTGAAATGAGTTATATACATGTACACGAATAGGGTTAAGCCTGTGATATAGAGACAATTGTTTCCGCTGGTACGATTTCAATGATCACAAAGAAATTTTTGACTACCGTAGTGAGTATTCCAGCAACTATAAATTGGCACCTATGTATAACTTTCAAAACATAGAAACCTGGCTTGAAGAAACGCAACCACAAAATAAACCAAATAACGATCCCATGCATAAATTTGACCAAACGCAAAATCGTAAGCCACCAGGACGGCAAATGTAGGATTTGATAATACCGGGGTTAATTATACTTCTTATGATGCAGATATTTTATACTGTAATGAATAATTTCCTCCTCCTTCTTTATTTATACCCGATGATAGTCAAATTGACATTCAAGAAGGCCCTTTTACACAATCTGATGATAGTGAAGATACGGATTACGTGCCAGAAGAAGATATAAATAGTACAAAATGTGATGAAACAATATCTATTTCTAATAATGTCAATAATTTGCCAAAAAATTCAATTCTATCAATCATTGTGAATTTGAAGATTGTAATTTAAAAGCGTTTAGCTCCTGTACACATTGTTGTTGTCTTTTGTGTTTAGTCCATTTTGTTAGTCCATTTTCAATATCAATATCAGAAGTGTGAAAAACATTATCCATATTCAACAGAAAATCTTTATTTAAAAGAAATTAATTTACCTTGTCATTGCCAAGATAGAAAACAATTTAAATTTGATAAATTTACCAAATAATACAGACAAAAAGCCTCCCCAGTGACGGCTACAAAACTTTGGAAATTTTTAGTCTAAAAAAACTCCTCAAAACAACTTTCACCACTCCTCAACATATTAAATCAAATAAAGATTGAGCAAGACTTGGCATCACAATTTGAATATGTTGGGTGTGTTGAAAAGATATTTAGTACCTGCGGGAAGTGCCTATGTTTACTCTGTTATTCACATTTTATAGGCGAAGACACTTATATCGACTGCAAAAATCATGTTCCTTCTTTGTCCCACAAGATACAAAAAGAAAAAGAAGAGTCACAAATATGGTTCAAAGAGTACAGGAAGACAAAAGAAAAACAAAAAAGGAAACCCAAAGAAAAGAAGGAAATTTGAAGAACCATTAGCAAAAAGAAGAGAGAAAAAGACTAAATTAGAAATGGAAAAAGTAACTGTAAAAGACCCATGCACAGAAACATGCAAGAAAAATGTACTAAAAATTTTTGTGATGAACTTAGAAGATAAACTAATTCTGAATACGTTTCCTTAAGCTGGCAATTAAAGAGTATTTTTATTAAAACTCTAGTCGAAATTAAACCAGTTGCATGCAGGAAAAACACAAATCGCGAAACGCCAAACCGCTATGTAAGCTATGCTTACTATTTTTATAAGGATAAAACTAAGATTGAAGTGTAAAACCTTCTTTTTAACAACTAGGATACAATCCAAAAAATGACAAAAGAGTTATATTAGCTTTACAAAGACCGTTAGAGAAACAAAACAATCAGAGAGGACATTACAAAAGAAAACCTAACACATATTAATACATACGGCCCAGTAAATTCTCATTATAGACGTGAACATGCCCCGCACAGATTGTATTTGCCCAGCGATATAACGATTACCTTTAATTTACAATTTCTTCATATAAAATATATAAAATCAAAGAAAATTCCCTGAATTTATTCAAAAAACATCCCCTAGGGGCATATCGGAATCTACTAAAAATGGCATAATAAAGAACCTTTTGCAGCTAATGCCGGATAACAGAAAAGAGTTTTGGCTAAACTTACCTGTTTCAGATGTAAATATTGATTCAGATTAAGTTTACAAGAATTAAATATATTTTAAATGTTTACTTTTTTATTTTGATTTAATGAAAAATAAGTATGTTGAATTATGATTTGTTAAACTAGTATATAAGTAACTTTTGTACGATGGATCTCAAATCCTTGCCATATTAAAGATAAGTTAGTTTAAAAAGATTTGTACAAGTATTAATTAAAGAGGAAAGTTAATAAATAAAAGATTTTTTTACTGTATTTATTGTTGTTTCTCTCTAAGCGGACCTACGAATTATATGAATCACTTACCATAAGAGCAGTGACTACGTACTTACTCCGGTAATTCTAAGTAATTATTGTTTTAAGATTATCAACTTATACTGAGCATAAACTGTTTTTTGTTATTTAAAACTAATATAATTCAACGACATCTTTACTTGGTACACTAAATAAAAATACATCACTTACGCTACACATTTCAATTATCTTATCTTAGAAAACTCATTAACAGAAAACAGGAAAGGTAAAAAAGGAACGAAAACTTAACATTTTCACGAAATATTAATATAGATACTTACTGCCATTATCGTAAGCACGTAGTACTGCTTGTCACTGGTAGTTCTTCACACTACAACGTTACTGGTTTTCGCCCCCATAAGGTAGATTTCGGCTATACTGTATAGTGAGCCGCTTGCCATTTTCCGTTTTGCCTCTTTATTTTAAAACATTTTCACTATGTAATTAGCAAAATATGCAATATTTTCTATATAAGGTTAAATCTTACACTAATATGCTAAACATCATTAAATTGGCATTTTGGTCCTTTATCAGTATATGATAAAGGTTATTCAATATATTTACATTTAAAAAAGTTATTAATCGAAATGTCCCATATTTTCATAACAAATGGGTACATTAATTCTTTAATTTTTCTATAACTACCAAATGCGTTTAATCATACAAATTATTTCTTCACTATCGTAATCTATATACCATATGGTAACTAAATGTCACATTTACAACTCTTTTAGAACACAAAAATATTCTCATTATTTTTAGTATAAACTATTGCGCAGTTAATTAAATTTCCAGAAAGTTCTACGATATGACGCGCTCTGATTGGTCGATTTTTTCTTATACGATTAAAGTTGTTTATATTAAATAACGACTAAAACTAAACTATTCCAAAGTAACATAAACAAAAGTAAACTATTCCACAAGGAAGTTGTGCGAGGAAGAAAACATCTTCTAAATCGCACAGTGGTGGACCGCCAATCATCCAGATGGTGTGGATGGTATCAGGAGTTCTGCCGCGATGTGCATTCGTGAAATTTGGCGGCTGGGATTAATCCGAACAATTCCTCAGAGCACTCCCCATGGTAGATGGGAAAGAAAATGCAAAGGGATGCAACATCTCTTCGCAGTGCCAATGAATCGAGCCGATCGGAAAGGGCTCGGTCGTCGACGATTCGAGCCGCTCTGCGCTGGATGCGGTCAAGTGAAAGGAGCTGGCACTGGGGAGCCCCTGCCCAGAGATGGGAACAGTATAGTCGAACCTGCGCCTTGTAAAGTTGCAGGCGGTGTGCCGGCATGAAATACTGTCCCGCTCTGCTGAGCACGCCAAGCTTTTTAGAGGCCAATTTGGCCTTGTCTTCAAAGTGACCACGAAACTGCACGTCACTCGATATGTCGACTCTGAGGATACCGATACTGGCTGAGGCAAGAAGGGGAGTGCCTTGAAACTGAGGAGATACGACAAAGGGGTTCTTTTTACCGGTAAACGCGCAAACTTGTGTCTTCTGAGGATTAAACTGGACTAGATTTAGTCGCCCCCAATCCGAGACTTTGTTCAGCAAAGACTCGACTTCAGACACGAGTTTGTTCCGGTGCTCGGCGACGTTTTCCCGAGAAATATTGGCACGGCCGGTGTATAGAGCAGCACCAGTGCTGGCACCTGGGAAAATTGCTTCAATCCTTCCTCGTTGCCAGGTGGTACGAGGTAACTGGCCGTCAGCTATGAGGACTGGTTCATGAGCCTCCCGCCGGTTTTGAATTTCCGGTGGCCCAATGTAGCCCAAACCGGTGAAGGTGAACGGTCTTTGGTGATGAGCGAGACGTGTACTGGGATGATCACCGGTGGCTGGTGCTAGTGGTTGCGCCTTTTTAATCCGACACTTTATGCATTGACTCACTATCTTTTTCGTGGTGGGTCGAAGTCGGATCACCCAGTAGTGCTGTCGAACCTCGTTAATGGTAGGTTCGGTTCCACAATGATGCAGGTTACGATACATCCAGTCGATATATAGTTGAGTGACGTAATGATCACCATCCAATATAGCTGGCCCTTTTATGTCTTCCGAGACTCCCTTCACGGCGGCTATGCGACTTCGTAGAGCGATGATCCCGTCTTTCAACTCTATTTGGAGCGGTCGTAAGCGGCTATCATGGGCGACATTTTTATTGTTACGGAGATCAGCTATTTCTTGTTTAAAGGAGTCTTCTTGGATGACACGTATTAGGAGCTTTTCGGCCTCTCTGATGAATTCGGCCTCGAGTGTGATGTACTTGTTGACATCTCTATTTTTCACTTGACTGGAAGGCTGCGCGAGGTGTCGCGGATTATATTTCGATTTCCTCCAGTCGGGATCTTCCTCTTTACTCCTTTTGGTCCTTTTGTAAAAGATCCTGTCTGTTGTTTTGCGGCAGAGTGTTATAAACTGAAGCACTCTGGCCGTAGCTCGCAATAAGCGTTCCCATTTTGAAAACTTTACTGGATCGGGAATGGCTTCTCTGAATAGCGGAGCTCTATGCGATTCTGTAATGGTGAGAGATCTTTCCTCACCGGTCAGTTCGGATGACGTGGGTTTTTCGGTCGGCAATGCTGACGGTTCTTTGTAAAGAAACGATGAGCCATTGTACCACTCGTGATTTGAGTCGAAGTTCGGTGGTACGTCCCTCGTAGCGGTGTCAGCTATATTTAATTTGATAGGTACCCAGCGCCATCCACTTCACTATGGTCCTCGATCGCAGCTATTCTGTGTGCAACGAAAGGTTTATAACTTCTGGACCCCGTTTTTATCCAAGTAAGGACAGTTTTGCTGTCAGTCCAATATGTGACAGCTTCGGGCTTTACGCGATGCTCATGAATGACGGCAGCAGCTACGCGACTTCCCATCACTGCGGCTTGTAACTCGAGGCGAGGTATAGATGTTACTTTGAGCGGAGCTACCTTCGCCTTGGTCATGACGAGGCTCACGTGTACTTACCCATCGGGTGTCGTTGATCTCCAGTAAACTGCCGTTGCGTAGGTGCTCTCACTGGCATCGGTAAACACGTGTACTTTGAGTGAACGTGCATCGCTGAATCCCGGGTAGCATCTTGGGATGCTTACTGATTTGAGTCGTTCCAGGTGTTGGATCCATGTGGACTACTGTTTAGTCAGGTCTTCGTCCAACTCCTGGTCCCAGTCTGTTCCTCGTCTCCATGCTTCCTGCAGTATTTGTTTTGCTTGTATCGTAACTGGGGAGGCGAGGCCGAGCGGGTCATACAGCGATATTACTATTTTGAGTGCTTACCTCTTGGTTGGTGTTTTATGCAGCAAATCGATTGGAAGTCGAGCGAGCTTTAGGTTGAAGCTTAGCTGATCGGTACTCGGTTTCCAGATTAATCTGAGTGTTTTCTCTTCGGTTCCCTTGTTGCCCAGGTCGACTGACTCAGTCAGTGAGGTGTCGTAGCAGCTCTGCGTTGACAAGGTAATGGTCTCGTTTGAGTGCTCGAAAAGTGACAACGCTTCCCCTCACTTTGCTCGCGAATGTGCAGATGTCTTTAGGTGCTTCTGTACAGCGTGGCAATCCTCGTAATTTCTCGGTTTCGGCTTGCGCGATTGAATCTGGACGCCCAAATTGTAGCTCCAGTTCTCGCATAATCTCATCTGGCTTAGCATGCCCGATGAGTTCTGAGCTGACTGTTTCCAAGGCTCTTCCTTGTAGACTTCTGCGTAGTCTTGCAGTATTTTCGATATCATTGAAGTAGCTTCGGGTTGTTTCGTAAATGGCACGGAACGAAAGCCATTCGGTATGTGCTCCGCTGAAGCTTGGCAGTGTCATTATAGCTTTCAACGCTGCGAAAGTATGCGACGATAGTGATGCACTTTCTGATTTTGGTTTGTCAGCGAGTGCGGCTATAGCGGATATGAACTCCGATATAAATGGTCTGAGCCCCCTGTCTTAATTAATGACAGGTACCTGGTTAGGCTTCTTTGGCATGGGATTCTTGGGTACATCTTCCGGATAGGGATCCTGGTAGGTGAGCTCTGGTACAATTGGTAGGAGCCCCCTGTCTTCATCAACCTTGGAATCCTGGCTTGTGAGCTTCTTCTGCGGCTCACTTAGGTCGACTACCTCCGGGGGTGGCTTTGTGACGGTTTTATTAAATGGGGCCTTCCCTCCGGTGGTTGCGCCTAGAGTTGGCTTTTGTTTGGCTACGGAATTTTCGAGCCAAGATCGGACGTACTCACTTTTGGAGTGACCATCTTCATCATAGTCGTCCGATTCATCTTCTTCTTCAGCCATCTGTAAGGATATCTGTGCGAGTTCCAATTTGATTCTCAACACTTCACCATCACGAGCCTTCAAAATTTTTCTATTGGGCCGAATAGTCTTCTTTGACTTTGTACTTCTATCGGTGTGGCCCCTTGGTGGCTCTTCGGCGCGGGTATCTTCCCGGGCTGTTGGCGATGATGCACAGCGAATGTCATCGTTGCCTTCAATTTGTTCCCTCTACTTCAGTGTCCCGTTTGTAGTGACCGGAACGGGCAGGAGTACCCCCTTCGCGGGGGCAAGATGGCGCCTCAACGCCTTCTGTTGTCGACGGTGAGCGTAGTGGCATCTGGTTGCGGACGGCGTCGGTATTGTACGACGGACCTCTTTCCAGACCGACGGTCCACGCCATGGCTACCATTCCTTGCGAACGAGTGATCGGCATCTTGATTCTGAAAATTCAGCAGCTTTAATACGGTAGTGACTATGTATCCGGTTCTGAAATACAAACGGATGGATCCGGCTCGAAGGACTAGCGAATGTACCGGACGGGCATAACTCTCCGGAGTAAATGTTGTCGAAGATACTCCGCGAGTCGCTCACGTCCTACACCTATAGGTTCCGGAGGATACTTTCACTGCCGTCTCTGTGTGTGCTGCTGGAAAACTGTGGACTGAAGTCCAAAATTAAAATGCACGATTTATAAATTCAAATAGGAAAGGTGTGGCCAGCGGTTCGACTGATTTATTAGTCGCGAAATTTTATAATTATTATTCATTGACCACGGTTGTTGAATACGGTTGTTCAACTACGGTTGTTCACTATTGCTTGGTCACTATATATTTCAAAAGATATAATTAAAATGTGCGGTAGTATTAAAATAACTATTGGTAGTATCAAAATATCTATTGTTAGTAGCTGGTTTTCTAACACTTCTGACTAGCAGCTATTAATCAACTAAAACTAGTTGATTTTATCACTTGTGTAACTGCGAATATCAGTTACCACTTTTTTCGTCTAGCTAACACTTTTCACTATATGTAAATGCGAATTTTCAGTTACCACTTTTTTAGGCTAGCTAACACTTTTTCACTATATGTAACTGCGAATTTTCAGTTACCACTTTTTTCGGATAGCTAACACTTTTTTCTATATGCAACTGCGAATTTTCAGTTGCCACTTTTTTCGGCTATGTGTAACCTCGATTTTCAGTTACGACCTTTTTAGGCTAGCTAACACTTTTTTTAATTCACTATCACTGTTCACTATGTTCTGCTACTAGTCACTTCAGCTACTACCGGATACTACAGCTTATCACTGGTAGTTCTTCAGACTACAACGTTACGGGTTTCGCCCCCATAAGGTAAACTTCGACTATACTGTATAGTGAGCCGCTTGCCATTTACCGTTTTACCTTTTTATTTTAATACATTTTCAATATGTAATTAGCATAAATTGCAATATTTTCTATATAAGGTTAAATCTTACACTAATAGCTAAACATCATTAAATCGGCATTTTGGTCCTTTATCAGTATATGATAAAGGTTATTCAATATATTTACATTTTCAAAAATTATTAAACGAAATGTCCCAAATTTTCATATAAAATGGGTACAATAATTCTTTAATTTTTCTATAACTACCAAATGCGTTTAATCATACAAATTATTTCTTCACTATCGTAATCTATATACCATATGCTAACTTAATGTCATATTTACAACTTTTAGAACACAAAAATATTCTCATTATTTTTAGTATAAACTATTGCAAAGTTAATCAAATTTCCAGAAAGATCTACGAATGACGCGCTGTGATTGGTCAATTTTTCCTTAAACGATTAAAGTTGTTTATATTAACTATTATTAAAACGACATTCTATACAAATATATTAGGAGTTGCAAACACACTGTAAAACTATATGAACAAACTATTTACTCGATTTTGTTGGTAATTTCACTTTTTATACAAAACAATATCTTTCATCACTTTGTTTCTTAAAGTTATTAGGCCGTCGCGAACAGTTTGGGTTCTATTTTGTATATCTCTTTCTATACATGTCTTTGGTGCTACGATGATTTCGAGATACTTCAACTCTTCAACTCTCTAAAGAGGTCTACCTTCGATAGATGGACATGAAATAACACCAATATTAGCATCAGAAAAGTTACAGTACATGAACTTAGTCTTCTCTCTATTGACTATCATCTCCCTTCTTTCTAAGGACTCCTGCCATCCTTTCAGTTCTAATTGTACTTCTGTCAACGATTCGGCTATAAGAACTACACCATCGGCGTATAGGAGTGGTTCACTGGTCTCTGCAGGGCTGACCAATTTTGTTGTTACATTTTTGTACAGATCTTTAAGGAGCTCAACATAACGCTCCTTCACCATTTACGCTCTTAGTGATTTTCAGATTAGTACTCAAGGCACTCGGTGGAACGTCTTTTCAAGGCCAATGAAAATAAGGTGAAGCCCTTATTTGTTTTACTTGCACATTTTCATTAATATTTTCACCGAGAGAATTACGTGTGTAGTGCCCGCGCCACTAGTGAATCCACACTGGTTCAGTGTAATTTTTGTAATTTTTGCCAGTCTTTTTCCGAGGATACATTCCCAGATGTTAAAGGTCTGAAAAGTTAGTTTAATTGCTCTATTTTTTACAGTCCGCAACATCTCCTTTATTTTTGTAAATTGCTGTTTCTCCAAATATCTGGTATTTTGGTGCTTATAAGGATTACGCTAAATCGGTTTACGCCGGTATTTCCCACATTTTCCGCTCAGTTCAGCTGGAATCTCATCTGGTCTAGCCGCTCTTTTACTTCCTGCGTTGAAATTACTTCAACGCGTCCTTTCGATGGGAGGGATGTGAGCGTTTCCTTTGGAAATTTTTCGTTGAGTAGTGTTTGGTATTATCCTTGCCACCTCTGACTTATTCCTTTTCTGTGGTTTACAATTTACCAGATGAATCCTCGATACATATTTTACGTTTGGTGTATTTTGTTTGGTTATTTCGAAGTTTTGCTAATTTAATTATTTCTGCGTCTGATTTTGAACTTGACCGGCAGCGGTTTGCTGCTCCTGTATTATAGTTTAAATAATAGTTTGAAGTGGATTTTGATATGTAAAAGTAATACAATTTTATGTATTAACTGTCTACGCATGTGAACTATTAGTGGAAACGGTGAAACAAGTGCTCTGATGGTGATGGATTCTCAAGATAAGTTGTTTGTCTGCATAGGCGACTTTAGATACCATCGCCAACTCTCAGCTGTCTGCTGGCTCAAGTTGCCGTCAAAATCTCCCATGGACTGCACAATGTGACGCATCAACATATTGTGAAGCAGTGAACTATGAAGGATAATATAAAAAAGACAAGGCTGTATGGATTAGTTCCTTTGCCTGCTCTCTCGAGCGAATAATAAAAACAGCAACAATCTTAAAGCTGTCATTACTTGAAAGACTATTTATTTTACATTAACAGAGATTTGACATTCTCAACCCACCAAGTAGGATCTTTATTAATCCTCAATTTTACTTTCGTATTACCTAGGGTTGTTGTCCAGTCAAATAAGGTCTGAGATCAAAATTTTGACACTCAACTTTGCATTTTTGGTATAATGTTGTTTTAATGATACAAAACATATGTTTTCGTGCCCTCAACTCCCGGCAAGGGTTAAAAAAATTGTCAAAAGTTTTTTTCGCAACTACTCGAAAACGGTAAAAGTAAGACAAAATAGTTTTTATAAAAATTTGTAGAACTTAAAATTTTACAAAAAAGGTTAAATGATTTTTTCCTCCGGCCAAATTTAACCGAGTTAGGGAGGTTTTAAGTTTAAGGGATGAACGTAAATTTAAAAAAAAAATTGTAGGTAGTAGAAAAATAAGCGTTTTTTTTAATTGCTTATATAATCTGACCTAACGGTTAGAGTTTAAAATTTAGAAATTATAATTTTAGAGATAAAAATTTTTTTGTTGTTAAAAATATAAAAATTCAAAATTTTTAAATTTAAATTTGAATGCTTAAAATTATTCATTAATTTTATATTTATATTTTTTTCATATTTACATTCCTCGTAGAATTTGCTAAAGTTAACGACTCAAAAAAAATTTTCCTAATATATTTCGGCAGGTGTGAATTTATACAGGTATAAAATATTTTTCAAATCCCACGCCATTGTCTTGGCTCCCGAGTTAAAAAGAGAGGACTATTGCTTACTCGTATACTACGTATGCTTACTCGTATACTTCTATAAGTAAGCAGTGAGAATGCATCATCGCAGAATCATTATTCTCACACTCTCTCTATTTCACGATCTGTTCATTAAAATAGATCAGGTTATTTTTGTCTACTTCGTGATTAAATCCGAATCCAGGATATTTTTTTTAATTAAATGTTTTAACATTATTATTTCTTAAAAATAAGTTTAAGATTTTTTTAACTGTCCTGACGATAGTAAATATATTATATCGATTCCAAATTTCATAATTCGTAAAAAATAACTTGACATGACATGTTTACATGTTGGAATTCATTTTAAAATATAACATTATTTTTATAAACATTTGGCTTACAAATTATAAAAAAATCATCCGTATATGTCGTTAGTTTTTTGAATTTCACAACTTGAATTTGACCCAGATATACAATTGACACAATTCTTTAGTTTTTTTTTGAGTTAAATAAATTCAGAATCTTGATTTAATTTAAAATTTCAAGGTATGTATAGAAAAAAGAGTGGTAATTTAAGATACAATTTATTTACAGCATCAGCAGCTGTACTTAAAAATGAAGTTGTATTAGCTTCTCTACCACCAACAGAATCATTATTGCGTGGACACACAAAACATTATTTACTCTTATCTTTGAATAAATTAAATAATAAAATTACTAACATTTCTCAAAAATCGATTATTTTTAAATATAACAAGGAAAATTTTACTATAACACACCTTGAAAATTTAAATTAAATCAGGATTTTGAATTTATTTAATTCAGGAAAACTGAAGAATTATATCAATTGTATATCAATTTCGATTCCAAGTTTCGAAATTCAAAATTACTTGACATGTCGGGATGGTTTTTTTTTATAATTTGTAAGTAAATGTTTAAAAAAAAATGTTAAGTTCCAAAATCCCAACATGTCAAGTTATTTTTTACGAATCATGAAATTTGGAATCGATATGTTTACTATCATCGGGACTACTAAAAAAATCTTCAACTTATTTTTAAGCAATAATTATGTAAAATAATTTATTAAAAAAAAATTACTTCCTGGTTTCAGATTTAATCACCAAGTAGACAAAAATAACCTGATCTATTTTAATGAACAGACCATAATATAGAGAGAGTGTGAGAATGATGATTCTCCGATGATGCCTTCTCACTTGTTACATATAGTAATATACAAGTAAGCATACGTAGTATACCAGTAAGCAATAGTCCTATCTTTTTAACTCGGGACTTAATACAACGGCGTAGGATTTGAAAAAGATTTTATACCTGTATAAATTCACACCTGCCGAAACATACTAGGAAAAATTCTTTTTCAGTTTCAAAAATTTTGGAAATTCTACGAGGAATCTAAATATGGAAAAAAATAAATAATTCATTAATATTAAGCATTCAAATTTCAATTTGAAAATTTCAAATTGTTATATTTTTATAACAACAAAAAATTGTATCTCTTAATTTTTAGTTTCTAAATTTTAAAATCTAACCTTTAGGTCAGATTTTATAAGCAATTTTAAAAAATGCGCTTATTTTTCTACTCCCTACGATTTTTTTAAATTTACGTCCATTCCTTAAACTTATACCTGCCTAACTTGGTTAAATTTGACCGGAGGAAAAAATATCATGAAACCTTTTATATGTAAAATTTTAAGCTTTACACATTTTATAAAAACTTTTTTGTCTAATTTTTACCGTTTCCGAGTAATTGCTAAAAAACTTTTGAAAATTTTTTTAACACGGGTTGTGAACACGAAAACCTTCACACATAGGTTTTGTATCATTAAAACTACATTATACCAAAAAGGCAAAGTTGAGTGTCAAAATTTTGATTTCAGACCTTATTTGACTGGACTATCTGGCGGTTTTTAGGCAAATCCACTAATAAACTTCCACGTGGAAGTCGTTCCAGGGAGTGCTGCTGTCTTTTGTGACTAAGTATCTATTTCAAGTGTGTATCAACCTGCGCAGTAAATAAAGTGCCTCAAGCCTAGTGTATGTTATGCTATTTTATGCGGGGTTTATGTTTTTATATTTCCCTTTTATATTCCAGTTTGGCATTTTCAAACAGGTTACAAGTAATCTGTTTTGGGTTGTTAGTGAAATCCCTGGTATAACTTTGCAGTCCCTAAAATTGCACAGAACATATTTATCACAAAGAAAAAAGTCTATTGGTGATGCCAAACCACCACTTTTGTAGATTATGAGGTGTTTATCCTTTTTTTGAAACAAATAGTTAACGATCGGGAGATCAAATTGAGTCGTTAGATTTATCATATCCTGACCTTGGTTATTAGTGGTACGATTGAGCGTGATTGAGTTTTCAGGTACATTCATACCTAAATGGCCATTAAAATAAACTGCTATAACTTTTTTCTCGATAAACGGTATGGTGACGTAAAGGTTTTCTAGATTTCCCCAGAACAGATTCTTTTCTTCATTACTATATCCAACCTGATATACTGAGACTATATTTAGAGTTAATTGGTTGTGTAGAGCTAATTTCACATACATAATTCTATCTGTAATTCTTTCTACTTGGATTATTCATTGTTGTAGTTGAGGATGATGCCTATTTCGTTCCTTGTCGTTGATGTGCCGTTATACAAAAGTTGATAGTTTCTACCAATATCCCTGGATTTTGTCTCTTTCCATTTAAGTTCTTGTATACAGCAGATGTTAATGTTTGGTGCATGTAATGTGTTTGCTAGTTCTTGACTGCGTTCGGTCAGGGAGCCGATGTTCCATGTAGTTATACGCAAATTATTTGCGCTGCGTCTTACGCCTTAGCATTTGCGCTTGGAATCGTATCTGGTCGTTGCTTGAGTGGTACGGCCTAACTATTATATTTTTCCTTTTATGTTGTGCTTTTATACTAGGAGAATGTTTTGTTTTGGCAGTGTATTTTTACATCCGGTTGCCACCTGACGCCAAGGCTGTCACCCCCTTCCAGAGTGAGGGCGCCGCTGTTGACTTGTCATGAGCTCTTCCGCCGCCGTCCCTTTCGTAGTGCTCCAGACTAAGCACTCAGCACTGCTTACGACCTCAATTCCAAATATGTTGAAGCAGCTCGTAGCAGAGTTTTGATAACGGAGTTTTCTTTTCCGACCTGTTGGTCCACGGGAGGTATTTTATTTCCCTCCTACGTGGCTGTGACGCCGAATGTTCCCCTATTCACCGCGTGGGGACGCGCTCCCTAGGTGTTCGGCAAACGCGAGAGCTTTCAAGGTCAAAATATTTTATTTTATTTATCATCGCAATAACCTTTTCTAATAGTGTACAGGTGGTATAAGAATATTCTCTACACTATAACGTACCGTGGGTGTCGTAAAAGCAGACGGAGGTAAACTGAAACTGGACATGGGCAGCAGCACATTTGATAACAACTCAAAATTATAAAAAAAAAACTCCGGTTGCCAACCCGCTTGCTAAGCGTGGCAACTATAATAAAATATAAAATAGGTAAATTTTTCCATAGTTGCCATGTAATTTTGCCACAGCTGCTATAGTTTTTTTAGGACTTTTATAGGCAATTAAATAATCTTTTCTGTCCAGAGCTGAACATAAGTTTTTTTGGAAAAGTTGAAAAATGCGCTATCGGACATGCATTTATCGAAAGAGCTACTTTCCTCCGCACACCACGCTGAACAGGTGGGCAGGTGAGCGCAGTTTCCGAACCCTCAAACTGTTAAAGCTGGTCTATATTACCTATCTGTGGGAGCTTGAGTTCTTTTTCTTTTTCTAAAGCTTATTCTGCCAGCAGTCGGTTGTAAGAGACTCGTTTGTTAAATAACGGAGAAAAAGTTGATATATGTAAATGCAAGTTAAACTTGAAAAAAAATACCATTGCACCGGTTTAAAAAGCTAAACCTTTGCAGAGAGGATCTCAAAAGAATTTCTTTTTATGAAATGCCATTGCCTTATATTTCAATAAATTCCAGTAGTCGCTTTCTTAAAATGACGTTTGTCCGTGAGCGACTTAAACTATCAACGACTATATTATAAGTTCTTTTTGATCGGCATGATCCGGTGGTCTTGTCACATCGAATATAAAACAAAAGTAAAATTAATATTGCCTGGGGTAACTATGACATCAGAACGCGGAACATCCCAGTACCTCCGTGATGGATGTTGCAATTTGCTGCACTTGGAGCGACAGGAATTAAAATTAACTTAAAATTAAACGTGATCATATTTGTAAAATTTGTTTTATTCAATCAGACATTTCATCTCTCCTTTTTCTATCGTATTCAACACGGGGAGTAATTCAAGTCACCAAGTGTCACCTTGGAACACGTTTTGAATTTTCATACACGCTAACTAATGTGCGTATAACTATAAATTTTCCGTCAATATGTACGACCACTTTAACAAAACTTCTATCGCTAGTGACTAAAGGACCAGGAAAAAATCTCGCTCTTTTTTAAAATGCCGGCAAAACACTTGCAATTCTTCGGATGTTGAGGATGTTCATGAGCATCGGAAATCACTTACTATCCAATGATACGCTAGGCCATTTACAGGAAGACTGTAGTATCATATTATATGTAAGGGCTAGGAAATATACTATTATTATACTTAGGTTTTAGATGAAAACCAGCATCAAACTTTAAAGCTGTTAGAGACCTATTTTTCATAAACCATGAAAGGCGCTTTAAATTACTAAATACGTTTTTTCTTGGTACATTGTGATAGTTTTAAGACGATTAATTAAAAAATTAATTTTTTTTTATTTTACTGGCTTTTTTTTGTACAGTATCAATAAATATATTTTTTCTTTTTTCTATTTTATAAGATCCGGGCAGAAACGGCAATTATAGTGGCAAATGCGTAGAGTGATTTCAGGCTAACAAAGACGATAGTGATGTTACTGTAATAAAAATCGTTTTTTTTTTTTGTTTAATTCACAGTGCTTGAAATTGATCTTCGAAAGAGTTGAAGTTACATACGTGGATACAAATTACTACGAATACGTCTTTGCAAACATAACACGCTATGGAAGACGAAGCGACTACTATATAAATATTGAATTTAAAAGCATATACGCTGCCGACAACAATGTCACGGTTTGTACTTAAAATGACGTTAAATTAACTTCTTTCTTTCCTCTTCTTATCTGTTCTCATCAACCCGCGAAGATACATTGCTGGAAAAGGGCTTCTCTCGTTTTATGGAGAATTTGTAATAACTTTGCGTATACAAGAAGATTATACTCGTTATCCATCCAAAGTATTAAGATCTGGGTCTGGGTATTTTCCTTAGTCTAAGAGACTGTATTATAGAGATGCTTGAAATACATGCTTGAAAAATTTAGATTTTTTTAAATAAATATTAAAACATCTGAAAATTATCTTATTTATAGAAAATAAGATAAAAATTTAATTTAATTTAAAGAAATAGCAGTATTTTTTTCACTCATATAATAGAAGCCAGTGGTGTAACCTTTCTTTCCAACTTTAACAGGTGAATACTCGGAAATCAAAAAAAAATTTTATGTGTTGCCTTGTTTTTTAATTGATAACATGCCAAGATCTATTTTTTATAATTGTATATTGTATGCCGGGGCGGCATCAGAGGCAGCTGAGCTGAGTAAGTGGCGCAAATATGAGTCTCTGAGAGATGACTACATATTTGTGCCATTTGCAGTAGAGACTATCGGTCCGTGGGGTCCACGTGCGGTGAAGTTCCTAAAGGAACTCCATCCGCGGCTGGTCGTTGCTGCTGGTGATAAGAGGGCTGGTTCTTTCCTCGCTCAAAGGCTAAGTATAGCCATTCAGCGGGGAAACGCAGCCAGCGTTCTTGGCACGATACCGCGGGGAGTAGGACTATATGATAATTAAGTTTCTAGTTTTAGTTTTTTTTTTTATTATCATAGTTTTTAATATTGTAGATAAAATTAAGTATTATGTAAAATTGTAAATATTAAATCAATTGTATATCAAAAAGCAATATGCTTGGTTAGCATGTTACCGCCAAAAACGGTCTCAGTTAACAAAATTATATTTATTTAGTACGTAGGTCACTCAATAAGTTTTGAAATGCTCGAAATTTAAAAATTGAACGCACCCATTTTATATGTTTCTAAAAAGCAAATTTATTTAAAAATAGAACTCCATAAGCCAATTGCTCAATATTAAAAAAACAAAGTTCTATTAATTTTTCTGCAAGGATCCCGCGCTTTTCATTTAAAACGATGGATCTTAACCGTGAACATTTGCGCGCTATTATATATTATGATTTTAAATTTAGTTTAACCGAACAATTAAGTTTACAACGGTTACAATCAGCATAAGGGGACTCAGCTCTATCACGCGCATTAAGTTTTAGGTGGTTTGCTGAATTCAAAACGGGTAAAATTAATCTAAATCAAACAGCAGTACCGGCAGAAAATGTATGGACTACTGAAATGTTGGTGCGAAAAGACCCACGAATCACATATACGGACATCGAAAATATTGTAGGCATTAATACCGGGAGCATTCATACCATCCTACATCATTATCTTGGAGTGAGGAAGCTTTGTTGTCGATGGATCCTTCGTTTGCTCTCCGAAAGCGAAAAACAGACTCGTGTGGATTGCTGCCATGAAATGCGTCTACATTTAGAAAACGGGTGATCTAGGCGTGTTTCAGAAATCGTTACTGGTGACGAGACATGTATCTATCAATATGATCCGGATAATAAAAAGCAATCATCGGTATGGGTCTACTCAGAAGGACAGTTACCAACAAAACTGCAAAGATCTTGCAACGTCGGCAAAAATGGTGGCTAGATTTTTTTCCCGGAGTGAACATTTGTCGACGTCAATGCTGGAAAATTATAGGTCAGTCTACCCTAAATAGTATACTGCAGTTGCTTTACCCAAAGCTTTTCAAGCTGTGCGGGAGAGAAGACCAAAGACCGGGCTTCGGGGAATCATGCTGCACCACGATAACGACTCTTCACATGCATTTATTGAGACATCTGGTGTTGAAACTCTTAATCACCCACCCTACAGCCCTGACTTAGCTGCTTGTGATTTCTTTTTATTCCCAAGAGTCAAAGAAAAAAATAAAAGGCAAGTTTTTTTCAAGCGCCGAAGAAGCTGTGGCTGCCTACGAAGAAGCGATTTCCGACCTGTCAGATCAAGACTGGCAAAAGTGTTTTCAGAGTTGTTGTAGGCGAATGGAACTTTGTATAGAGCATGATGGAGAATATTTCGAAAAGATGAAAAAACTTATTGAGTGATCAACGTAATATTTTCATGTTTTACAAGTATTGTTGAAAAATATTATCTTTACAAAACTTGTTTCCACAGGTCCACATCCTATACTACGAATTTCTTCGCAACCAGTACAGGCGTTCGTTTATCGAGGGTCATTACAAGTTGTGCGATTTCCTCATTGACGATCCATATATTGGTGTATTTGTGTCGGCAGTTGGCTTCGAATGTCCTGTGAAAGCTGTAAGATATCGTCCTTTATCATTTAATGAACATCAAATCTTCTTTTTCTTTATTACTTCATAACAATTATATTTATCTATGTATTTATTATATTATATAGGTATGAGTATTCATTAATATAAGTAAGTAATAGGATTTTTACTGTTGTTGTTGTCTGCATTTATTAGTATATGCTATAATTTAAATAACCTACTGAATACATGAACATATATTTAATTATTTCTTATGAAATAGGGATGACAAGCAAATTTAAAGTACCTGATAAAATTAAATTCAAACCCAAATATACTGTTGCAAGATTTCAAGATACTCGTTCCACGTAGATCGAACCGAAAAATTTACATTCAAAAACTGAACTAACTATGAGATCGAGACGTGAACCACTTCAGCCCCACCGTGACCATGGGTGCTGAAAAGCACCCGAAACGTCGGGAATTAAAAAAGTTAAAATTAAGAGCTAATGCAGCCCATGGACGCCTGTAACTAAAGAAAAATAAAAAAAGCTGCGTTTTCACCTCTAAGGATCGAGATAGATACCTCACATTATATTGGCTCTGTATCCTTCAGCCGTACCATCGTAACACAGCACAGCAAGCACTGCTTTTTGGCTGCAGAAATAGGTAACAGGGTGGTACCTTCCTAGAGAGAGTCCTAAGCAGAAAATAAATCGTGCCACAAGATATAAAGGCTACTTATACCGGGTGTTTGTGAAACGCTCCCGAAAACGAAGACCAGACTACAGTACTAACTATACCTTTGATGATGGGTGAAATATAAAATCGATCCTAATGAAAAAAAAACGTCTTTTCACAACGTTTTATTAGATTTATTCATACTTCATCATATTAGTACAGCTAAATGAAACGATAATTTCATTAAAAAAATCATGAAAATACTTAAACATAAAACCAGAAGTGGAATTACTGAATTACAATCAGCTGATTGGGGGTCAATGTACGCCCGGACGCCGAATTCGCGCGGTCCGCTGGTACCACAATACCTAATAATTGACAACACTTGTCTAAATACCTAACTTATCTACTTAACCTACTGTTTTGCCACTGTGCTTGCCTCCACCTAACCACTTTATTCATAGGTTAAATAAACCAAATACCTGGTTCGATTCTCCGCTAATAAAAATATACTTAAATGAACTGTTAATAAGGTGAGAGTCATGTTTTTTGTGTAGGTATATGTTTATTATTCTAATGTATTCAGTTATGTACCTATTCAGATGAGTTAGTACTAAGTTATTTAAAAAAAATGGTATGAAACAGCTTACCGATCTAAATCTTATGAGATTCTTTAAGGCACATTAACACGTTGCCGTATTCACCAGCACTATAAAGATACCTACGCGTTAGGCAGTATTAAAACAAAACAAGAAAAACAAAACGTAACAACAACGATCTAATAAACAAAAGGATTAAACTGTCACTCACGCGCACGTTACAGTCAACATGGAACTGCATCAAAAACTAAAATTAATAATCAGTCCCGCCAAAACAAATGTGCACGACGCATTCGTCCTTGAAGCACTGAGCTACTACCACAGACCGTAAAACTTAGTTTACTTATCCCTACGACTAGTCGTCATATCCCGCACGGAACAAGTATTTGTATGACCTACAAATAATTGTTTCGAGTCTGGATGTTTGGCCTCGTGCAATTTATGTTTGTAAACTACCTTCACGACACAAGAGGAAATCCTAGTGTGGGGGTAACGTTTTTTAAAGAAAAAAAATATATATGGAATTTAGAAGTTATGGTTGTCAATTTTAATACAATTACACAACTAATTGGACCCTGACGAAACAAACATTTCTTTATTACAAAAATTATATTGAAATTAATAAACGTACCTAATTGGGTAATCAGTACTCACTTACATAATTATAAACACTATTTCATCGTTATCTTTGATTTTCATAAGAAAATAGAAATGAAATGGTACTGAATAATTTAATAGTTAAAATCAATTGCAATTATGATCGACAATTAATTAATCTATCAGAAATAATTGAAGCAAAAATAATACTTTTATTTTATTTTAATTAACTTTCCGTATTTAGTCCGACCAATACTTTGAATTTAAAAAGAGGTACGTCAAAATTATTAAAAATTACTTGCAAGTTTTATAGTGATTGCCACCTTGAATTCTTATGTCGCCGGCAAACAAATATTAGTAGGTAAAACCCTCGAAAATTCATGTCAAAATCCCCAATTTAAGGACAAAACTTCAACAGATTCTCCACAAATTCAAGTTCAGTAGTTTAGGAGTCCATCGCGGACAAACAAAGTGACACGTAATTTTTATATATAAAGATAGTAATTAATTATTTTATTAAGGAATCATAATAGGTACTTAGAATTTTGGAAGAGGTTGGAATTAAAAATGGATAATGTTTACTTGAGTATTATTTTTATTTCTATCGTAAAATAGTAAAGTAGTTTGTAATAAGAAAACTTAAGCTAAGGGTGACACAACGTCCAATACCGTTGGAACATGGAACATGGAAGCCAGATGTCGATGGTGTGTTGGTGATACTGGATGCTACTTTATCATCGCTTTCATCTTCGCTTGAGCTTCCGTCATCAGAATCATCATAATCAATGCGAATAATAAATGTTTCCGTCATCAGGTTGACCACATGGTAATTTTTTCGGTATTCTTCCTCAATATTTTTAACTTTACTGCACAATTTTCGCCATTCACCATCAACTTTTTCGTTCACTAGTTCAGCTATAAAACAATAGATATAAATAATTTTTCTTTCCTTCCTTTTTAAAACCATTGTCTCGAGTCGTGCAAAGTAAACTGTGTGTGCGACTGTATTTTGGAAGCCAACAAAGTGCGGTAAGCATGACCCAATAGCATGCGCGCACAGTAATACTGGCGAGCGTTCCTCCGTCGCGCCCCCTTCGTACCACCAATTTGATTGATAAATTGCTGTGCCCAGATTCAAGGCCAGTGTTTTTTTTTTACCTGACGGGATCTATAAGAGTTCGGCGTCCACGCGTACGTTGGCACCTAGTCAGCTAAATTTAATTTAGTAATAAGTTTATTAAATTATCGTTTCATTTAGCTGTACCAACATGATGGAGCGTAAATAAAGTTAATAAGACATTGTGAAAAGATATTTTTTTCCTCGGGATCAAATTTATTTGTGACCAATAATCAAAGTTGTCCTTAATACTTTCATTTGTCTTCGTTTTCGGGAGCGTTTCACAAACACCCGGTAGACACAAAGATTATACTGAGAGCTAGGTTTTCATCGGAATTATATAGTAGGTACTAAATAGTCTCTATATATTATTTTATATAATACTGTTGCAGCGTGTCTCTACTTCGTATAAAAGTTCAAGACATTAAATTTTATATGACTAAGTTGGAATGTATTTACAGTCAGTTTTGAACACTTTAACGAGCATTGCAAACTAGGCAGAATAATATCAAACAGGGTAGTGATTCTGTGTAATAACAACAAGTATATCGATGTAAAAAAAAAGTTCTGTAACATAGTTTTTCAGGAGTAGCATAATATTTGCCTATGAGCGGTAAGGAAATTGCATTGCACATTATTTTGCCAATACTTAAAGAAAAATAAAATAAATATAATAAATATCAGCGCAGCAAAGATGAAAAACGCCACTTACGCCAAATTTTTCAAACGACAGTTTTGCAAAATGGCGGTTAAACTGAGAGCTGGAGAAATAAATTTATATATCGACGCTAGATGGAGTGAGGACCGTTGAGTCTTATTGAAGAATTGAAGATAATTATGGTTTGTTTTTTCGACAGGATTACGAAACTTGGCCTGGCAAGTATTTTGCCTACACCATTGAAAAGGCTGGCTATCAAAATCTCTAGTTTAATATACTCTAAATACGAGTAGGTGCAATTCGCCCCGATCGACAGGAAAGCCTACGGTAAAGATTGCGGCGGGCTTACTCTCGGCTCTTGTTAGAGTTTGTTGAAGAAACGCTGACAATCGCGAGTCTGAGTAGCCATGACCTACCAACGAGCTTTACCGGTGAAAAATCAAGACCGCGGTAAAGTTCACCCGTTGACCAGGGCCTTTAGACAGAAAAGAAGCCAAAGATATGACCAAGGAAATCCATCTCAGTCCTCAGGGGTGACAATCTTATTGAAAACAATGCACCTGCAATATTTTTTGTATGTCACCTTGAAGTGTATTAAAAAAAATTAAAATTTTACAGGCTACATACACCATGGCGAATATAACTATTCCTTTGGCAGATTTCCCCAACGTGTTTCCCTTTGAAAAAGGACGCATTGACATGGCCTTTGAAGTGACTGCGACTCGTAAACCATTGGTCGAAGCAACACTTTATCTTACTTTTAAAAATGAAGTTAGAAGCAAAAAACGCGGCTAAGTTTTTCAACCGTTACTTCTTTTACTTGTATAAGTTATTATTGGTTTTGTGTAAGTAGCACTCGGCATAAATTTGCGTTTTACATTGCTTAAGTTATTTTTTTTAAATAAATACACTGTTCGCTTGGAATAGATAATGTTATTAATATTATAAAGTTAGGATATCACATATTGTTACCTTCTTATAATAAACAAATAATGAATATGGGTGTCAAATGTATTATTTTTGTTGCATTTTAGCCTTGATTTAAACTAATGGTTCTTATCAATTTTGGCTGGCGCTTTTAATTAAATACAGGTATACTTTGAATCTCAGGGACCGTAATCGACAAAGCGTAATTAATAGTCTTCCTAATTATTCAAACTTAGATCAAACGTATTTTGTTGCGTTCTCCCTGGAAATAGAGCAACACGGGTAACGGCGGAATGGAGGGGAGAAGTCATAGCGTTTTTCTTGGTACAGAACTGTAATTTTTTGCGTAGGCAAATCAACGCACACATAAACAATCGTCGGTCACTACAAAACTCACAAATAACAGTTAAAACAATAAACAATACACAGATGCATTATAATCGTATTACTCGGTGACAGCAAAAACTCGGATACAGACTCGGATCAGTCGCTCGACCAATCTATATATTGTATGAGGGCGGGCGGCCTATGTTGAATAAAGTTTAATAAAGATTAAATTTTACGTGCTCTTGAATGCTTTTTTTTATAAACTGAAGTGACGTACTGATTTACAGTCCACCATATGGTAAGTGGCTCTGCAATCCATGGACACATGCAGCCAGCTTCAAACAAACAAGACTATAGAATATAGATGCTTTGTCATCTCCGAGGCTTAAGATGGAATGCCTCACAGCCAGTAATTATACTGGCTCTCTATAGACCGGATCATAATAGTGCAAGCACTGCTGTTTTCCAGAAATAGGTAAGAGGTGCTGTCGTCTAGTAAAGTATCGTGTTTTTCTTTTTTGTATTTGACCACTAAATCTTTTTTTTCTCTTTGATTCATATGTAATGTTCTCATTCTAAGCCTTGATTAATGATTTCTATTTACGCAAATACTACTCATTGAAATAAGCGCAATTAAAAACAGCAAAATTCAAAAAATAGTTTTATTACATTTCATTGATTTTCATGGGATTTTCATACCATTGCAGACTATCAAAAGTCCAGTGCTGAACATAGGCCTCCCCCATAGGTTGTCTCATAGGAGGTATATTTGTCGTAGTTGCCACGCTTGGCAGGTGGGTTGGCAGGTGGCCAGGCGGTAGGATGACGCTACTGACTGTCACCGGGTTTGTTTCTATTTATCGCTTGTTACGACACCCACGGGACGATATGTGGTAGTGGATGTTCTAACACCGCCACTGAACGAAATATTTAATAAGCTTGTGCAAACAAATACACAAACACAATATGTAAATAAAACATTGCATATTGCCTGTACTCACATGTGTTTGCAAAACCTGAAAAGGATAAAACAGCAACTTCAACTTCGGGTCCTCAAATCAATCATCAATTATGAAACCCATTGTGACGCCTCATAATTATTATTAATAAATAGTAATTAAATTCATTATACAGACATTTAAAAATGTCATAGAAATTATAATTTAAACAATAAAATGCAAATAATAAGCATAGAGTTCAAAAATATCCATTTGGAATATACATACATTCATACATATAATCACGCCTCTTTCCCGTAGGGGTAGGCAGAGACCAGTTCTTTCCACTTGCTACGATCCTTACATACTTGTTTTGCTTCGTCCACTTTCATTATTCCCTTCATACATGCTCTACGGTTTAGGGTACTCTTGACCTGGCCTTTTTTCAAGACGTCCCTGATTTGGTCTAGAAATGTCCGCCTAGGTCTACCCCTTCCAACACTTTCATTCACACTCGCCTTATACACTTTTTTCGTCAATCGTTCTTCATTCATTCTCTCGACATGGCCAAACCATCTCAGCATACCTTTCTCAATTTTTGTCACTACATCTTCTTTCAGACCACAACGTTTCCTTACCTCACTATTTCTTAGCCTGTCACTCAGTTTAACTCCTATCATACTTCTTAATGCTCTCATCTCAACTGCATTTATTCTGCTTTCATGTTTCTTCTGCCATACCCAAGTTTCACTTCCGTACATGAATGTCGGAACCAACACCCCCTCATGCACAGCCAAACGAGCCTTGTTAGACACCTTCCGACTGCTCATAAAGGAGTGCAAAGCTCCATTCACCATGTTTCCTGCATTCACTCTTCTTTCGATATCACTCTCACACTTTCCATCTCTTGTAAACTTTGAACCCAGATACACAAACTCTTTCACCTGTTCAATTTGTTCATCTTCAATCACGATATTGCAGTCTGTCACTGCCTCATCTTTTTCAAACACCATCACTTTCGTCTTCCTTACATTCATCTTCATTCCCTTTCTAACAAAAGTTCCACTCATAGCAGTTACCATCTCCTGCAACTCCTCGGCCGAAGACGCAAGTAATACTTGGTCATCAGCATAGAGAAAACATTTGACGAGTAACTCATTCATTCTCAACCCACTTTCATTCTCTTTTAAATCTGTCAAACAATTGTCCATGAACAGATTAAACAGCCACGGTGACGCTACACATCCCTGTCTAACACCTTTTTCGATATTAAACCATTCAGTGTATGCCCCGTTTATCCTTACACAAGCACTAGAATCCCTATAAAGAGATTGCATTGCTCGTATGAGGATACTGCTCACACCGTTCACGGACAGTGCTGACCACAATTCATTCCTCACCACTCTATCATAGGCCTTTTCTAGATCTACGAACGCGCAGTAGACTTTCTTGTTTTTAGCCAAATACTTTTCGGCTATGCACCACAAGAAAAAGACCTGATCCGTACATCCCATTCCCTTTCTAAATCCCGCTTGTGCATCCCATATTTTCTTGTCTGTTTCATTCACAATCCTTTCAATCAACACTTTCGCATACAATTTACCGACGACGCTGAGAAGGCTTATACCGCGGTAATTTATGCAGTCCTGCCGTGACCCTTTTCCCTTATACAATGGCACGATTACGGCTTTGCACCAGTCTCCCGGTGCTTGCCCATTTCGCCAGCACAGATTGAAAAGGCGGTACAGCTGACTAGCCACCAGGCCCTGTCCAGCCCTCAGCATCTCGACGGTAATCCTGTCATACCCTGCAGCCTTACCTAATCTCATACTTTTCAACGCTTTCACTATTTCATCCATGCTTATCTCATTTTCATCAACATTTATATTAGTTTCCGTGGAAGGTGGCAGATGCTGTACCTGCACTTCCTCTCTTTCAAACAAACTTTCAAAATACTCTTTCCATCTCTTTAACACACATTCTTCTCCTTTTATAATGCTCCCATCTTGACTCCTGATAGTACTCAGCTCAGAGGTAGAAGTTTTTCCTCTGGCTGTTTTGATGGTTTTCCAGAAAAACTTAATGTTTGACTGGAAATCTTCAGTGAGCCTCCTATCGAAATCATCCTTTCGTTCTTCTTTCTTTCTAGACACAATTTCTTTCGCTGCTGTTTTCAATCTTTTATACTTCGTTCTTGCTTCCTTTATCTCGTCATCCGTTGCCTTTTGAACTTTTTGGTTAGCTTTTGTTGCTAACCAATCCAACCACGCTTTCTTCTTTTCTTGCACAACCTTTTGTACATCTTTATCCATCCACACGTTATCATTCTTTCTTCCTTTCCTTCTTTTAGCTACCCCGCATACCTCAATAGCAACATTTACGACCCCTTTCTTAAATGTCTCCCACAAATCTTCAATCACTCCTATCTCTTCTATCCCTTTAAAACTTTCTTTCAGTTTCTCTACATACTCGTCTTTCTTTTCTTTTTCTTGTAGATTTTCCACTTTTACTCTGTCCAAAACACTCGTAGGCTCGGCCACTCGGTGTCGCCACCGTTTAAAGAGGCCACGCATTCGGGCTATGACCAGGAAGTGGTCTGTGTCGAGGCCTACACCGCGGTATGCCCGAGTGTCTAGCACTTTCTTCCTCAGTCTTTCATCCACAATTACAAAATCAATCATACTTCTAGACTCACCCTCATCTCTTGTATACAAATGGATCTTTTTGTGGTCAAACATTGTGTTGGCCACGCACAGATTCCATTCCAAGCATACTTCAAGCAGGCTTCTCCCATTGTCATTCACTCTCTCGTCCCCAAACGTACCCAGAACTCCTTCATACCCATCACGCTTTACTCCAACCCATCCATTAAAGTCCCCTAACATCACGATCCGTTCATTTTCTCCGCATTTATTCAAGACCTCTCTCATGCTATCCCAAAATTCCTCTCTCTCTTGTTGTGTTTTTAAGGACCCACATCCACGCAGATCCGTTGGTGCATAGACCCCAAGGATAAACAAGCGAGTGAGTCCGACTTTTAACCTAATCCAGAGGATCTTGGGCTTATACATTCATGCTCCATCACACATTCAACCATTCGAGATGAAAGAATCACACCAACTCCCTGACAGCCTCGGCTGGTTTGGGGGACTCCCGACCAGTATGCCGTGTAGGGGCCATGAACCGTGGTGTCACATCCTTTCCTCTTGGTTTCGTTCACGCACAGAATATCAATGCAACGTTCATCCATCATCTGACATACTTCATCTACCTTACCATCCATTCCTCCTCTTACATTCAACGTAGCGAAGCGGCTCTCCTTGGGCCGCTTTTCGCCCCCGCGAGAAACGAGACGTGATGGGTGGCGAACCACATCGCCGCCATTTTGGTTAATTAAATTATTTTTATGACTATCCATTGCGTTCCCACGAATAGCGAGGGAAAGGTTTGTCCCCCCCAGCAGAGCCCCGCATGCCAGGGTAAGGCTAGCCTAATTCTGGGGTTGCCCGGTCCCAGGGCAGTGTGGCACGCTAACGACTAGGCTCGCCCCTAGCCATGCATCCATCCGCGCGGCAGACGTTGGATTGGCGGAGGGTAGGAATA